GAGCCGAACGAACGATGGTCAGATCCCGATGAGACAGAGACCACATGGGAGGAGCCGGGTTATCTTTCAGCGGACGATGGTGGGCTCGATGCTGGATTCGAGGAGAAGGAGGAGTATATGGCCGTTTTTGAGGAGCTTCTTTGACAAGTTGACAGTGCGGGTTCTCTCCGACATTTTGTGGCGACTCCCTCTGATGGCTTTGCTAAGGAGAAAGCAGATTCAATGAGGACCCAAGAGGTGCTCGATCATCCATCTTGTTGATATGTGATCAGAGTAACGCAGACGCAATGCGCGCATATGGGGATTCCGGCATGCACTCCGTACTCTGTAACTATCAAGTGCGATCAAATCTAGTGGTGATGCGTATTGCGCAAACTGGTTTTTTGGATCAGATTCTCTCAGATGAAAAACACTCATGCCTTAATACTGCTGGCCTTTGGGATCACGTGGTTCTCATCGTGAGGGTCACGCTATTCAAGTGGGTGAGGACGAATTCGAGAGATCGGACGAGCCTCAAATCCTCAGGTGAATAGAGGCAACAATGGGAAGAACACAGAGAAAGTCCTCCTTGTTTTGTAGGCCCAAAGCCCATCTTTTTATAGTATTTACAGGAGGTCAGAGAACACATGAAAAAGGAATAAGGTAAAGTAAAAAAAAAAAAAGTTCAAATGCCGGTGGTGCCAGCAAGCAAAGAGAGGCAAAAGATCGCCGGTAAAACCTTGGCTGCGAGATCCAAAAGGTAGATTGGCGAGGTCGTCGGCATAGCCTCACGGTCGCGACCCGGCCACTTCCGTATCCACTCACTCCAACATCTCACTTATATTAGTTCCGGGGAAGCTGGAAAAGGTTGGAGCGTGCAAGATGGTGGACTTGAGTCCCTCAAGACTGAAGCTGAGGGGCCAAACTATGACTCAGATGAAGTTGTAGTGTACAAAGAGCTGATAGCTGTTGAGGCCAATGAAGGGGGTCAAGGGAAGAGAAGGAGGAAATTGACAGTGAAGACATTGGCCATGCTATCCTGATAGGCGCTCGGTTCCTATAACCATACCTAATATAATATTCTTAGAGTTTCAAAATAGTCCAAGTTCAGAGTCCTCTTGGACACGGGAGACACCCCATTTTGAGTTCAGTTCAGGAGGTCCTCGGACATCGGACAGAACTACAGGTCGTTTTAGTACAGTACATCATCCAGATATTTCCTAAATCCTAACCTCACGTGTTGAGAATTGGAATGGCGCCCCTGGCACACTGAGCCTTGAGGATTGGGTGGCCAGTCTTCTCAGTCTCCTCGCATACCGATAGTCGAACACATCATTCCATTTTGTAATCAAGAACAATACACGGCGGTTGTTACACATAATGATTGAGGTATCTTTGCATAGAAGGTAAAAGGGGCCCAATACAAGCTTAGAATGGAGGAGGGCCGCTGAGGTTGACGTGGACGGCCTTAACTTCGGTGTAGTTCTGCAGCGCGTACTCTCCCAATTCGCGACCTTGGCCACTCTGCTTGTAGCCACCGAATGGCACGTTGGTTCGGATTGTATTGTATGTATTCACCCACACAGTGCCCGCTTTGAGCGCATTCGCCAATTTAAGCGCACGCGGTAAACTCTCACTGAACACGGCGGAAGCGAGACCGTAGTACGAGTCATTCGCCAAAGCGATGAGCTCCTCGTCGTTGCTGAATTTCGCGACGACACCAACTTTCCAAAACAGCTTTCAATCAGAGACCAAATCGTAATGATGCGAAAGGAACATACCAGGACCGAAGATTTCCTCCTTCACGATCGTCATATCTGGCTTGACGTCCGTGAAGATGGTAGGCTGAATGAAATACCCTTCGGTGCCGTGTTGCTGACCCCCGAGAAGGCACGTTGCCCCCTCCTTCTTCCCAATCTCGATGTGATTCATGATTCGCTGCAATATTGCACGATAGTTAATTACACAACGACAATCACAAAGAGAGTCATGCTCACGTCGAATTGGGTTTTCGACACTTGGGGTCCTTGGAATGTGTCGGGATGGAATGGGTCGCCAACTTTGACGGCCTTCATAACGGCCACGAATTTCTCTAGGAACTTGTCATAGATGGTGTCCTGCACGTATATACGGGTACCGGCACAGCACGTCTGCCCGTGGTTGAAACTAATCGAGAGTCAGTCAGCATCAAGCACACTTAGAGAGGATGAGCCCTTTTTATCACGCACAGAACACCAAATACGGCCCATCTGGCAGCGTTGTCCAAATTACAGTCGTCCAAAATAAGGGTTGGGGACTTGCCGCCGAGTTCGAGAGTGACCCGTTTGAGATTGCTGGAAGCCGCAGCTTTCATGATCGCTCGGCCAACAGGTGTGCCTATAACCAAGATACGCATTCAGCAGACCGCTTGACGGGACCACTAATGAGCAAACGACGCACTCCCGGTGAAGGCCACCTTCTCAATTCCCATGTGGTTCGAGATGGCCGATCCCGCAACGTTGCCTAGACCGGGGACAATATTCACGACTCCGGGAGGGAACCCAGCTTCTTTGATCAAAGAAGCGACGCGAAGCGCAGTGAGTGGGGTCCATTCAGAAGGCTTGAACACGACGGTGTTTCCGTTGCCAGAGCTGGCCCAAGTTTCCATGACAACATCCAAATCTAGAGGAATGTCAGACGTGGGGGAGCTTGAAAACCCTCAGAAATGGACGAACAGGGAAGTTCCTGAGATGTATACAATGAATAAAGGAAATAGGCATCCAAACAATCACACTATCTTACCATGGAGTAATCTGGCCCACCACTCCGAGTCTGAAATGACTTGTGTGAGAAGGACTCTAGGGCCATGGGGAGGATTACGTACGGTTCATGGCGGGTATACGCCAAAGTTGCCTCATCGACTGGGGAGGCGGTTTAGATACGCCTCTGCATTAGTTCGAATTGAGGCTATTTACCTTCAATGGTTTTTCCTTGGACCTTGTCTGCCCACCCTCCGTAGTATCTAATCGCATCTGATTGGCTCGAGTTCCTGGAGGTGTACATAGAACACACCTTAGGACATCGGCAGCACTCTGAACGTCGCCGGACTTGGCGATGGCAACGGCCTTCCCTGATTGACAGGAACGAGAGGTAAATAAGGAGACTATTGATAATGCCAGAAATTTTGCTCGCCATTGTCGAGAGATTCAAGAGCCGCTAATTCGTCGATGTTCTCTTCGATCAATTCAGCAAGCCTTATGAGTAGTTTCCCACGCTGTTGTCCCGAAGTGTGGAGGCCCCAGGTGGTGTTGAACGCCTTCTGGGCAGCTTCAACGGCAATATCAATGTCTCTCTCAGAGGCAACGGTAATGTGGCCCAGGGATTTCGCGGTCGTGGGGTTGATAAGCCTGAGGGATAGATGGTAATCAGCTTGTGAGGTTTGCTGAGATGGCATGATGTCTTACTCGAAAGTTTGGCCATCGACAGAGTCAACGAACTGCCGTTGATGAAGAGACCAGAGGGGAAGGAACTCTTCTTTCTAAAGCCAGAAGCCTCGTTGCTAAAGTCGTAGGTGAAAGTCCTTGTCGCCATTGTGGGAGGGTTAAGGGTGCTTGAGAAGTCCAAGATATGCTGGCCACTCTTATAAGTCAGCCGTCTGGATCTTGTAATTCTGAATATTTCATTTGATCGACCTGGGAATTATTGTGACTACTCTACGTGCTCCGGATCCGTGGGAGAGCATCGCATGGATCAAGGGGAAAAGTTGTCACCAAGCCATAGTTTAGCCAAGCAGGCCACCATCACGCATGGCACACGAAAGAAGGGAGCAGGGGAGCGGGTACCTCGTCTGACGATGAAGGCCCAAGGCCGTTGCCGGGGTCGCGATTAGGGCAGTGCGACACGCGGCAATCCCCGCTCCCCTCTGAGGCAACAGTCGGCGGCAGCGTCACTTGTGCACTGCCGTAGCACTATCAGTGGGCCAGAACCCCAGGTTCTAGCTTCATTATTTCGTTGCATCGGCCGTCCATCCAGTGCAGCGCTTACAGAACACATTCTTGCACAGGTGTGGCATTGGGGGACTATTTAGGCACCCCCTAATACCCCGGCGACTTGTTATTGCCCCTAACCACTTCTTTCCATCCATTAATTTCGAATCCAGTTATCAGTCCAGTATATAATCTCGCTTCCTGTGATTCTCCCACCTGAATTCTCAAGATATAGAGTACTGCGCCAAGTGGTCCTCCCTAACTGGGCTCAGCTCTACGCGATACCTCGTTCCATTAGTGGTACATCATAGTGTTGCCCTATGCAACTTCCTGTCACTTCTTAAAAGCAAAGTCCTTTGACAGCTTTAGGAACTCGAGACACTCCGACCTGGGCCAATTTGTAGGGGCATTTGTATTTGGTTTGGGGATCTGCGGGAAAATAACATTTCCGGTCCGTTACTTCATATTGGGTGTGAACTTGATGAATAACCTTCACCAGAGGTCGCACCTGGGGATTCGATGTAGAGTTTGCGCTATGCAGCAGCGCCTATATAGGGAGGACTCGCTCGTGCGGTCGCATGGAGCAAGAGGCCCCCATACGGGATTGGTCTACTTATGTGTCCTGCGCTTATACATCATTTCCTCGATGCTTAGGAGTGCCTACCCATCGACCCAATGTCTCGTGTTGTGGTTTGCACCGACCTTGATTGGACCCGACTGTTATCCCCACGGGTTTAGCCTCCGGGGTTGGTACCTGTCATGCCACTGGAGCAAATGCGATGAATGGCAACCATCATTTGCCATGTAACGACAGAAGCCCTTCAGGGCCCAAATAATCTGGCCATGCAAATACGAGCATTCCGCGATGAACGGGGATGCCCGATAGGGGATAGTGGTTTCAACCCTGTGGTGTGCAATCCAAAGATCGCCCACGACAGCATTGATAGGTGGTCCCATTGGTCAATGGCAATTGAATGAAGATGAGGATCTCACGGAGGCTTTGGCTGGAAAGATCAGGGTGACCCCAAAAGGCAGCTCGCAGTAGTGGCAAAAGTATGAAACTTGCCGGGGTCGAACCGACGACCTTTGGTTGATGGATATCGAAGACCAACGCGCTACCACTGCGCTAAAGTTCCACCCCTTAGCAGTCATTACCTAACAGACTCATCTAATGCTTGGACTGGATCTCATCAATATTAAATCCTTGCACAAATCTGACCATATTCCTGTAGCAACCATCAAGTGTGCTTGCGGCCATTTTAACCATCCCTCGTTCGACGTGCAGCAACACGATCATCATAGTGGGGGCACGACGAATTAACATCTACTCTTGGTCACTGTGTAGACTCGTGACCCGTGGGACTTGCCGGCAGGTTACAGTCTTGGTTCCACCCCGTCAATTCCAGCCTTACGCTGCCACCGAAACGAACCCCTCGATTACAGTAATACAACCTTCTAATGGCTGGAAATAGTGACCCTACCAACCTCCACCATTGGGATATCATCTAGAGCCGTCTATATATCTCTCCGAAGCGGCTCGTGGTTTCGCACTCGGCGAGTACATTCTTGTCAGAATTCCGACCCCGATCCAGATAGGGGGAAACACAGAGACCAGGACAGCCGCTGAATCGGGACTCCTGTTTACCTCCAACGCAAAGAGTGCCCAACACTTTGGCTTTATTCGCTCAGTAGTCCCGCTGCCCGACGGATCCATCCAGCTTGAAGTCTACCCACAGATCTCTCTTACCCGCCGCGGGGGGCCCCTGGCTGGATACAGCCAAATAGATGATTCTAGCCCAGAAATTCTAATCTCACTTCCTCCCTTGTCTCACAGTCACCCTACACCTGAACATTTTGGAGATTCGCTGGTCATCGGAGGTTGGTCAAATGATAGAGACGCATGGCTAAGCGTCGTCCCGACGAAGTTTATACTACCCTGGACAAGACCGGTCGGTTTTGTTTGCTCGCTCATCAGCAGATTTTTGGAATTCCGTTGATTCAGTTCAAAAGAATGATCCCTCCTGTCTCCATGAGTTCCTTCGAGATGCGGCGGATCGAGCATTACCGCAACACGCGAGTAAGCGGGGTTCCTCCTGATCTTGGCGATCGCCAGGATCCAAGCCCACCCTCCCTCTGAAGATGGATCAGGCAATCGATGACGTACGAAGGAATGTCAGTCCCAGACAGGCTGATGGAGGACAAATGACCTCCGCAACTGTTTCTGAACCGACGGTAGTGAGCCGGCCGGGCAACCGTGCGCAAAAACGAGCAGCACTAGAGGCAGAGCTGTGGCAATTCGTGCGCAACTTGTCATCCGATGAGATCCTGACCCTCGAAAGTGTTGATGAAGACGCGGAGGGCGGCGATGATTGTACTACGAGGAACGAGCTTATCTTGCTGGCTCGCGGTCATCCATCGTGAGCAAAGGTGTTGGTAAATTATTTGCTGGCAGAACATGACGAGAGACAAGAGGCGGAGGAGTGGCGCGCAGCCAGGTTGGAGCACTGGTTGCAAGGCATGACTATGTGATCAACCTTCATCTGCGTTCTTCTTTGGTGACATTTTTTCACAATATGTGGCGGCTGAGCCACCCTACATGAGGGCCTTCAAACCTGTCTGCTCTAGCAGTGCGTAGCACATAGTAGTAGAATGGAAACTGATGGAGATGTGTGTTGAATGCACTCGCGAGAGCAGGAACCAAGATTCATATCCCTACAGCGATTACTGCAGCATTATACTGTTCATTGAATAGCAATGCTTTTTTTTGTATAGATAATGAAAATTCTTGCCTTGCAATTGGCCATTCATCAGGCATCAGGACTTGTGGCCTTTGTGTAGGATGCAAGAGGTAAAGAAATACCCGAATGTGTGGGGTTTCGATAGGAACCTTTCTCTTCAAACTTGGTACAGAAATTCCTTAGATGTGTCCTTCTAAAATGTATGAAGCAAGGCGGGATACCTTCTAAATTGAGAAAGACATCAGTAGGCTCGCACGTTGACCAGTGTGCCCTGATGACCTTCATCGGGATTCCACTTCGCTCCCTACAGTACGAATGGAAGGACATTCATATCATGCATCGGATTTACATACAGATACAGGTGTGCTACAACAACATTGGTTTAGATGTGACTTCTTGACGACCTTTCGGGGACAGCATGTTTCATTCCCCAGCCCGTTCTTTACAGTAGATCAACAACACATTGGCAACAAGCCTTCAGTCAGACCACGTTGCTCGGGTACTGAACGCTAGTGATATCCACAAAGGTTTCCTTGATGCTCCGGGGAGAGACGAAGCGGTTGAAGATAGAGATCGAACCGGCCTTATCGTTCGTGCCGCTCGCCCGTCCTCCACCGAATGGTTGCTGGCCAACCACAGCGCCGGTGCACTTGTCATTGTAATACACATTTCCGGCGGCATTGCGAAGACGGTTGGTGGCGTGCAGGAGCGCGCTCCGATCCGAGGCGAAACTGTGAACAGCGAATTTCAGTTCAAGTCAAAGTGAAGAACAGAGCCAGAGACGCTACGTACATGGAACCTGAAGGTGAATATGGGATGAGAATTTTTGAGAAATCCAAGCAGATTGCCAAATTACATACCTGTCAGTGCATACGGGGTTGTGGTGTCGATCAAGTCCAAGGTCTGCTCATAGTCTTCATCCTCATACACGAACACCTAGTTGGAAGAAATTTCAGGGACCAGCCTATCCGTTGATGTGCCTGCCAAGCATACCGTCAAAACGGGTCCAAATACTTCTTCCACCATTGTGATGCTCCTGGGGTCCTTGGTGAGTATGATGGTAGGTTGGATAAAATACCCTACGATGTCATCGGCTGCATAGTAAGGGAATCTCGTGAGCTCGCAGGCCACCGAAACTATAGCTCGACTCACAAGATCCACCAAAGAGGATCTCGCCACCAGTCTGCTTGGCCTTCTCTATATATCCTGTCACCTTACGGAATCCTGCTTCCCCACTATAGAATATCACCATAGCAAGATCAGCAAGGAGTCGTTGAAAATGGATTGTCATTCCCACATGACTGGGCCAACAAAGTTCTGGAACTCCTCGGGTGGGCCAACATGGATCTTAGAGGTGGAAGCTACCAATTGTTCCTTGAAACCCCCCTTCCACACGGACGAAGAGACGTAAAGGCGTGAAAGGGCAGAACATTTCTGGCCTTGATATTCGAATGCAGCTCGGACGGATTGAAGAACGGCATTAGATACATCGGCTGAGGAATGGATAAGATGGAAGTTCTTCCCCCCTAGACGTTGCGTTGAGCCCCAAAAATATTAGAATAAACCTGATGAAAACACGCTTGCCGGTTTCGCCTACGATCCGAGGATATCCGCGATACTTGTCGAGATTTTGGGAGATGTCTTTCCAGAGAGATTTGAATACGGCTGTGCTCCCTGTGAAATGGAGAGCACCAAATTCTCTGTGGTCGATAGCCTGCTTGACAATTTCTGGCGCAGGACCAGGCACAAACTGAATTACGTTTGGTGGAAGGCCGGCCTCCAGTAAGAGCTTATGAGTGAGATAATTCGCATACACCGACATGGGAGATGGTTTCCAAATGACGACGTTACCAACGAGCGCCGGCGCTTAGAAAGGGATAGAATGAAAAATAGTCTATCGGAAAGGTGTGAATAATACGGACCACCGGAAAGGTTGCCACCAATGGCTGTAAAGTTGAATGGGGAGACAGCGAGGACAAAACCTTCCAATGCACGATATTCGAGCCGACTGTCCAGAATGTGATTAGGATGTGAGCAAGCGTCATTGATCGATGTAATACTGACTTCCAAACGTTAGGCGCATTCTTCGGAGGCTGTTGGGCATATAACTCCTCGACGAATTTGACACCGAAACGGAAAAAATCGGCCATCTGAAAGTTGCATGATATAAACGACAGAAAGAGGATACACATGATTCGAACATACTTCTGCCGCAGCATCAATCTCTGCTTGCCAAGCGTTCTTTCCTTGCCCGAGGATGGTGGCTGCTAAAAGTTGATAACGATACTTACCGCTGATGAGGTCAGCGGCTTTCAAGAAAATGGCAGCACGGTCGTTCCACGGCAATGCCTCCCACGCAGCTTTTCCAGAGAGGGCACCATCGATAGCAGCACTGATAGTAGCGGGATCTGCCTGATGGTACTCGCATAGATGGAGAGCATGATTGGCTGGAATAGGTTGTTTGGCGAGGTTACCAGTTTTGACCTAGTTTCTGAATGAGAGACGGACAGGATGAACGGTTTGCGTGGCCCTCACATGCTTCCCGTTAACAACGCAAGGGACTTGGAAGGGTAACTCCCTTTTCATTTGGGCTATGGCGTCCTCGAGACCGTTCCGCTCAGGGGAGCCAGGGGCGTATGAGCGCTGAATTATTGTTAACCACACATCAGGATAAGTTCAAGAGAAACAAGATGGGTTGGGCTTGCTAGGGGCTCATTGTCGATAGCAGGCAGTTTAAACGATGCAAGCGTTGCAGACATCCCAGTGGTTTTGCTGTGACCTGAGCGCACGTGAGGTCATTCTTCGCTTGCCCCTCGGTTAACTGATGCCAAACCGCTGACCGCCAGGCTTCTGCTGCTGAATCAGATAATTTTCTACAAGTCAAGTCTCCTGATACAATGTATCCTCAAGCTGGAAGTCATTCTATATTTTCGAGTCACATTCACCAGCTCTTGCGGGCCCTAACCTCCACCTCGAGACATTTCCGTAGGCCAAAACGCGTTTCCCCCACTTCCCACTCAGCCTCTACCACTGTTTCATTGTCAGCACTCATCCTAAAGAATGGCCCGACGCACGCCTGGCATATACCAGAAAACATCGTTTCCAACACCCAGCTCAGTCGTCTCCCAGTCATCTCAATTGCAGGCTCTGCATTCAGCTCCAGAATACTGACAGTGAATTTTGAGGATGCTGATGGTGGTGCCGGAGTATGCGAGACCAAAAGATCCGCGCCGAAAAGTTCGAACACATTCGGCAAGGGCTACATTCCTTTTGAGATCCAGACGACGTCCAAATAAAGTAAAACCCCTCGAAAGGCAACTCACTTGAAAATGTACCGTCGACTCGAGCGCCGCACGAAAGGTGTCCGCCAATATTTCGGACACTTGGCTTGTGATGTC